TAAATCAAATTGATGTCCCTACTAATTGTCCATCTTGATGGAATCTTAAACCTAGGACAACATACCAGAATGAACTTCCTAAATCCAGGACCTTCAACAAATCTAAAAGGGAGTTCATCTATTATAATCATTTCAACTAAGGCCTTCCTAATAGCTTCTTGATTAAAGACCCAAGTTCCTAACTCACCAACAGTAGCAGGAGATGCATCAGAATTGGTAACAGCTTGAAAGGTCAGAAGTGATTGCCTTGTGTCTTTTGAGTGAGGGTTTTTAAGACAGTTAAACATGTGGGTTCTCAATGATGAAGTACCATGTTTTTTGGTCTCACATTTATATATTTTGGCACAATATATACACTTGCCCTCAACAGTAACATTATTCTCATCAACAATCTTTTCAAAATGATCCCACACAGGAGATCTGGATTCAACTACCTTCCTTTTCTTCGGAAGAACCGCAGCAGTAGGTTGCACATTCTGTTGATCATTATTTATCTCAACAGTCTGAGCTTCCACCACTATAGATCCATGAAGTGAAGAGTTGGAAGGTTGACTACCAGACTCTATGATATTTTCCATCTAAAGAAATGGAATACTATCAGTACAGTGGGAACCATTTCAAAGAATGTCAGAATTAGAGAAATCCAGAATCAGAAGACAGGCAGTTCCTAACTTCATCATTTTTCTAAATTTCATAATTGGGACTTTAAGGAATTAACTATTAAGGGTCATACATCCATAAACTTATAACTTATAAGTTATAAACATAGTAACATACAGGCATACATGGATACAATCACAGTATCACATTAATCACACAAAGTGACAAAGAAATCCAGAAATCAGGATGGTGAAAGCCTGAAGTTTACATTCATCATTTTACTGGATTTCACAATTCGTAGTTACAATTGGGGCTTCCACCATTTTCACCAACACAGGCAACATCCAACAGCCAACAGGGGTTAGGGACTTAGGGGCTTCCACAAACAATACAGACAAAGTATAATCAACAAGTGTAAGGGACATAGGGGCTTCCACAAACAATCACAAATAAGTGATTCTAAAATGTCACAGTCCATATAATCATAGAAACTCTAATCAAAGAATCAAAAATTCACAAATAAGGGACAAGTGATATGCAATCCGGAACTTCTCAACAGATTCACATTGTCACAGTCATCAGAATCATAGAAACCCTAATCAAAGGATCAAAAATTCACAAATAAGGGACAAGTGACATGCAATCCGGAACTTCTCAACAGATTCACATTGTCACAGTCATCAGAATCATAGAATCACAAATAACAAAAACGTATCACAATATATAAGAGTATAATCTAAGTATGTCTATAAGATTAAGGTTTAGAGATTACTTCGTTTCTCCAAATCAAACCCCCGAGAACAAAGGGCTTCAAATCCGTGAGACCGTGACAGCAATCTACAATCCACCACACCGGCCACCGGTCGTCCAGACTCCAAAATAGGGCTTCCACCGAACAATATTGGCTAGCTTCCACCGGAGACTCAAACTCAGAGAGAACGAGAGAACTCAGAGACTCAGAGTCTCACAGAGTCAGAGATCTGGAGAAGAAAGAAGTAAGAACTAACTAGGGTTTCAGATTTCAGAGAAGAAAGACGAGACTCACGATAGAACGACTTTAGAGAGTTCTCAGAAGTCAGAAGAAAGACGAGGAGGCTGCGCAAATGAGTAGGGTTTCCTCCAAAGGCAACATATATATACCGCTTACACGACGTCGTATACCTTAGGGTATACGCAGTCTTACCCTAATTCGGGTTGTCGGACGGGTTCGGGGGGATTTTATAACCCCCAACCCGCCTCTTTCTAACCGGCTACGTGGCGTGTGAACGGTTCGGGTATGCAAGTTCGGGCTCGGATTCCACCCAAGTGCATACAATCGGGTTCGGGTCGGCCGGGTTTTTCGGGTGGGTCGGTTTATGCACAGCCCTAGTCTCCATGGCCGCGAACCTCCGACGGTGGATTTGGTTCGTCTCTATGGCATTAAACTTTAAGAATTATAAACCAGCCAACAATCTAACATTACCAAACAATAATAACAACAAATTCTGTAAACAAAAGCAAAAAAAAAAAAAAATACAAACAGACCTGTATAAGTTATTGCCAATCATGCGGTTAACGACATATTGCCGCCGCCACCAACTCCGACGACCTTAGTCTTGGCGGAGTCCATGGGGATGAAAGAGCAGCGAACGGAGAAACGGCGGTGCTGGAAAAAGCTCTTTCTTAGAGACGAAGGGAGGAGGCCATGGACTTTCGGTCCATGGCCGGAGACCTCTGCCATGGAGACCAACCCCCGGGGGTGGATTAGGGTTTTTTTTTAATTAATTATTTTATTTAAAAAATCGGTAACCTGCACTTTCAGGTAAACAGGTCATTTTTGACCTAATTGTATGATTTTGTATTGTTCAGGGACCTAATTGCATTGTTTTTGAGTTCGATGGCCTAATCGTAGTTTGGTGTGCAGTTGAGTGACCTATTTGATCCTTATTCCAAATATAAATGAGAAAAATAAATTAAATTTTAGGTTAATTTGTACCTTACTTAAAAAGGCAAAAAATATTGTGTTGTTGATAAAATATAAAATAAAAATATAACATTTTGTAGCAGAAATGAAGAATAGCATATACAATAATACAAAGGTTAAGTGGTAAAGCTATTTCATCTTAAACAATAAATACAAAGCCATAAAAGGCATTTAATAAAAGAATAACACAAGTCACTAATAGAAGATTAGAAGTTAAGCAGCGTAAAATCCTAGAAGAACAAGAAAAACACAGTGGTACAGTTTTTAAAATTTTAGAATATGTGCGAAAATTTTGCTAAATTATATATAAAAAGGGGGAAAAATTATAAAAAAAAAAAAAAAAAAAAAAAAAAAAAACCCTTTCGCAAATTAATACAAAAGATAAAATTTTATAAACAAGATTAAAACTTAAATTTTTGAAAAAAAAAAAAAAAACTAACTAATAAAGTACCTGTTAAATTTTCATGGCCATAGACTTTGACGTCTTTTGAGTTTGAGTGGTGGACTACCGGTAACTGGAGAAGTGGAGCAAATCGAAGTCTCAATGGAGATCTCTTCATATATGCATTGTACGTCACACAAATCGAAAGAGATTTAGAGTTTATTGTGTAGTGAGTAGTGACTAGTGAGCGAGAAAGGTGAGAGAATGAGAGATTGTGACTCTAAAAGTGAGAAGTCAAAAATGACTCACCGGGAGTGACAAAACGACAATTCTGTGAAGGGGAAGGTGGAGAGCCAGAGTCGGTGTAAATATATTATTTATTTTTAGTTGGAATTTAGAAATGAAGGTTTATATTGTTTGAATGATGGATAACTTTATATTTATTAGTGGAAATGCACTAGTTTATCAAATTTGAAAGTTTAGAATGTTAATTTTAAAAGAGTTAATACCCAATATAGTCTCCGACTATAGTGGTTTTACTCAATTTAGTCCTAAACGACTTTTTGTACACAATTTAGTCCTCGACTTTGATGGTTTTACACAACTTAGTCATTTGTTAAAAATTCGATCTATTAAAATTGATTGTTAGAAATAGGGTTCTAATGGTAAGTTCTCATCCTTCATCCGTTAGGGATAACTCATTCTTCTTCCCCTCATTAAGATCCACGCAGAAATACAAATTTCTGTACCCAAATCAACTTCAACCCCTTAAGGAAGGAAGGTTATGATAATATTTATTTCTGCGTGTGTTGAAGTTGATTTGGGTACGAAGATTTGCATTTCTGCGTGGATCTTTGTAATAAAGGGGAGAAAAATGAATCATCCCAACTAGGATGAAAGATGAGAAATTACCATTAGAACCATATTTCTAACTAACAGAATTTTTAACAAAGGACTATATTGTATAAAACAATCAAAGTCGGGGACTAAATTGAGCACAAAAAATCATTTATGACTAAATTAAGTAAAATCACTATAGTCGATGACTATATTGGGTATTAACTCAATTTTAAAATGTTAAAAATTTTAGTTAAGCCCACCTAACGAGTCCGATAGCCAAGGTTTTAAGATTGAGACCAAGAATTTTAAACTCAGACCCAAAAAAAAATAAAAAATAAAAAATATTAGTACAAACCAATATGCCCGACAATTTGAGCCTGAATCCAAACAGATTGTCCCCGTTAACATCCCTATTGCAACCAGGGGCGGACCTATAGTGGGGCAGTGGGGGCAGCTACCCCCTCCCCCACCCCCCTATATATATTATATAGTACTTGTATATATATGTATGTATATATAGTACATATATTAGTATTAGTAAAATAAAACATATAATTGTAAACAGAGGATGGGTTAGACTAGATGGATGGGTATGCACTTGACTTTTGGGTTTGGCGTGGGTTCGAATCCCTGCTTTACACAGTTATTTGCAACCCTGAACCCTTAGTTCAACACCATTAAATTTTGGTTGGCTTTGCTTCAAGTTAATAAATACCCTTTAAATTTTGGCTTTTTAAATATTATTAATAGTGAGATTCTCACATACACCTACATATTTATTTATTTATTTTTCGCTATATTCAACACATTTAAGTTTTGACTTTTTAAATATTAATAGAGAGTTTCATACACACCTACATATTTATTTATTTATTTATTTTTCGCTATATCGTACAACATTTATGGTTATACTTTTAAGTGTTTTATCTTTTTTTTTTCAAGCTCTCTCTTTTGTTTTAATATTTTGCCCCCACTAGACAAAATTTCTGGGTCCGCCACTGATGACAACGACCCAAAGCAAGAAAATATAGGCTTTGTGGCGGCTCCATACTTATCAATGACTGCTTATTACTTTCGAGGATTATTTGAGAGTATGTTATATTTTTTATGCTAATGTTATCTTTGGAAAATATTATATTGAATGGGTATGAATATTTGATGTGAAAGTATGCGTGCTGCGGCCTAAGGCTATCATGAAGCTGAATCCACTAAGGAAAAGGAGGCTCAATGCTCACTGATATTGAGAGTCTAAAATATGATAAACAACCATCCATTCTTTTTGAAAACCAAAACAGTACACTTCATTCATCATAAACAACCATCCATAGTTTCAAGCTAGCACTACGCAACAAATATCTACAAACCCAGTGGTTATAAGTTTTTTTCTTTATTTTACAGACGCAGCTAATTTGATAAGCAATTATAATATGGGCACGGGTTCTCATCAATCACTTCAACATCCTTGTTGTCGAAATACCATTCGCTAAAAAGCTTTTCAATTGTCTGTAAAAGAAAAAAAAAAAACGATGCATATCAATTAGAATGATGAAAGATAACTCGATCTCAAGTTTTTTTAAAAGGAGGATATCTTTATAAGTTTAATAATTGCATGCATTCTTAAAAGCTATTTATATCATATAGTATGTATATGCATGAAGCCAATAATGATATGTTACTCAATAATCAACATGCATGCATTTGTGCTTAAAAACATAAATTAAAAAATTGCCTCATTACCTTTCCAGTTTTAGCTGCACGAAAATACCAAGAAGGGCCGAGAACTTGAGTATGGGCATATGGAGAGGTAATTAAGATCCCTTTTTTGGAATTGTGGGATTGTTTAGGCAATACTGACAAGAGCTCGGACCTAATATCTGAAATGATAACATGAAAATATATCAAGTAAAAATTGAGCAATAACTTTGAACCATAGAAACATCTTCAATTAAGTAATTAAATTGATTATATATAAAGAGAGTAAGCATTTATTGATTCGAATTGAACCTTGCATGATTTTAATTTGATTCAAAGAACAATTCCTCCCATTAGCACATGTATCAAATTCTTTTGTGACCATTGTATACTCTATCTGTAAAACATATATAAGAGCATAATAATTAGTGTAAATGAAGGAATTACATTATATTGGTGTGTTTGCTTGAAATAACATTTTTTATCTTAAAATAATATTTATAAAGGTGAAATTGTAAATTCTTAATTATAAAGGTTATTGTTGGGAAAAAAATCTAACCTGAATTTGATCAAACGCAGACATTAAGAAAAAGATAGGCGTTTGAATGTCAGCTTGCAAATTTTGTGGGAAGAAACACTGCAACAAAAATTCAAAATCAGTTACATTATTTTTCTTTGAAGTAAAAATGAAGTTGTTAAGACATCCAATTAAGCCGTTATATCTTACCATTTCTGGACTTAATCTTGAAGTACAAGACGTAGGCAATGCGTTTTTAGATCCCTAGTTAACCAAAAACGCAGGATATGATATATAGTAAAAGCATAAATTAAAAGTAATGGAGAAAATATGAGATCAATTTAACGAAGTATAATATTTAAGCTAAGGCCTAAGAGGAGTATAATACATGTAATTTGATCAAACCGTCAAACATGGACAGAAATGTGTTTCTTTGACTCATGTGCTTTTTCCTGTTAAAAATTTTGCATGTAAAATTCAGTACTTCTAAGCAATCATATTAAAAACCGATTCAATTAGATTTGATATATAGGGTATAATTAACTTACGAAAGGAAAAAATATCCACCATCTGAAAAACACTTAACGCGAGAAGTGTTGGAGAAGTAGCGTCGAAATCTATCACAATATATCGTGGTAGCCACTCCTCCCGCAGAACTACCCGCTAAAAGTGCCTATATATAATTTAGATTAATTCAAAATTAGGTCAAACGAACATTATTATTTAAAAACTATAAACATGACATGACCTCTCTCTCATAGAAACAAAAATCCACGTGTATAAATTCCCAACAGTACACAATAGTATTTGTAAGGACTAATACATGTATCAGATTAAAATGCTTACATTTTTCGCATTTCCCATCCCGCTTTCTAATAGCTCCTGCATTATGGCCTTGAAAATTATTGCTCCTCTGAAGTAAAGCTTAGTATCCTGAAACATAGAAATTTAGTGATGTGCAAAACAAATTAAACAAAATAACATAATAAATAATCTTGACAAATCAATTGTTAATTACAATTTAAAAGTAGAAAAGTTGATGTAATACATACGTTTTGATTTATCTCCGAGTTGCCGGTAAAGGATGATGCATCACAGTACCTAACATCAATTCTATTCCAATTGAAGAAGTCTGAAAGTTCCATAAAATAAAGTTAGGAACCCAAAATGAAGTTAATCGCTTAATACTTACATAATTTTAACATATAAATTACCAGGATTTTTTTTCTTGTTGCTGCTTAACAGATTACCATGAAGCGCTGCTGCTGTAGCATTCACTCCAACACCTCTTCTTTGAATATAACCGTTGCAATCAGTAATATTCATACACCATCCTCCTCCCTAGCATTTTGATTCGTATATATATTAAAATTTTGAAAAAAAAAAATAATGAGTAGAATTCATTTAAAAAAATTTACAGTCCGGTAAAATTTACCTAAGTACTTCTTTTTAACTATAAATAGTCATACTATATACACATAACATACAATATACAAAATGCATATATACATTTGTTATTTGAATACTAGGAGTAATACCTAATTAAATACAACGCAAAAATTAAGTTTTTATAATTAACCCAAGTACTTCCAAAACTGTGGCACACAATACTAAAAATAAAAGTAATGAAAAATTTTAAAGACTTACCTGAAGATACACAATCCAATTACTAACTCCCTTGCCAAATCCTTTGGAGTAGTAATATGCTGCTGGATTTCCAGCTAAGCAAACTATCAAAAAATAAAAATTAAATGACATATATTTTCATGATCTTGCACATGTATGAATATTTATTTTGTAATAGTATAATGTTATTAAAAAAGAATTACCTGCCCTAGCATCTTTTACAAATGTTGGATTCACTATATCATTACCTGAGAGAAACATTCTCATAAACACAATTCATAAATAGGAAAAAAAAAAAAAAAAAAAGAGTTACACAAATTACATACCACTGGGGTCGGAAGCTGCATGGGAACTTTCTCCGCACACTATAATTATTAAAAAAAAAGAAAAAAAATTAAAAATGCAAAACATGGTATAATGACTAGTAAAAATATACAAATGAAATAAATCCATCCCATTTTTCATTCATGCAATTATGAAACAAAATAAAATAAATAGAAAATGAAAGAAATATATACTTACAGGCATTTAGCGGAGCAAGAGAAGTGACAAGTATTAGCAGTATTTCTCCAAAGTTCTTCATTTCCAATATCTAATTTTGGGAAAAAGAAATTAAATTTGTGGTCAATATTTTAAGGTTGTTAAACCTTGGATTCAAATTATATAATTTTTAACCTTACCCAAATTGGAAAACAGGAAAAAGAAAAAATAATAAAACAGATGGCTCCAGCTGGATCCATACATATCTCTATACAGACTTCAATTAAGCACTGCATCCATAATATATATAATAGCTTTAAAAGCAAATTATGGAAAACAGTGTTGATGTTTTCCATCTCATCAGTGAGCATAAGTACTTATATACTACTCCCATCCAAGAAAAATCAAAACCAGATAAAAGTTTCCAAAATATATACATACATATATATGGCCATGAAAACATATATATCTTGAAAATTGAAAACATAATAAAGATTGAAGAAGAGTGAAGAAACCTGGATCGGCTGGCTTGCTCTGACGTAGAAGGTTGAAGTGATCGAAGCTTGAAATGATCCAAAGGAGAAACGAACCTCACTATAGCTTCAGGGGAAGAAGAAGAAGAAGAAGAAGAAAAGAGAAAACAAGTTAAGTTTGGTGCAAGAAAAGAAAACAAGTAAACATGTATTTATAGGCCGAGTATAGGTATGGGTATGGGTATGGGTATGGGTATGCCAAACAAGACTCAAGCATTACCAGTTTGACATTTACCTATTGGCCCTTTCATTATAGCCATCAATAAACTTAGGGTGTGTTTGGTTGGTGGGTTTTGTCCATAAAAATGGGTATGAAAATGATTGTTGTTGTTTGGTTGATAAGTTTTAGAACATTACTATAGGTTTTGAATACCCATCAATTGAAAAACTCATACCCAAATAAAATAAGGGTTCCATTCCCTTATTCATTCTCAAGCACTACTATTAATAACAATATAATTCCCATTCCACTCTACTATCAAACATGTTAAATACTTTCACAAAAACTCATTACCATAACCAAGTATTTGATACTCATTCTGAATGCAAACCAAACATACCCTAATTGATCCGTTATAGCCTTTGTTACTTGATATTTAAATTAATGACTACATAGCACTAAACTTCTCTTAGGCCTTAGCTATATAAATTAATTTGATTGTGACTTGTTTTTATACGAAAGAAACATAAAAATATCATACAACACACTACAAAAATTTAGAGTTTTACTAATATATATGTACAGACACCATAAATCATAGTAGTTTCGAATTTTCTAAATATGAATTGTGATATGATTATAAGAATACCTAATCATCCATTCATCCTTGTTGGGAAGTGTTAGGCTATTATGGATGCAGATGGCAGATCATGTTTAAAAAAAAAAAAAAAAAAAAAAAAAAAAAACATGCACTATGTATACACTTATTAGCAATTAGGTACCCTAGCCTTAATTAGTTTCTATATAAATTGAAGGATTAACTAGCACCTAACTCTCCTTGGCTTTAACTATATATGTTAAATTGATCATGACATGAGATATTTAAGTCGAAATAGAATGCAGTGTAAAACATTATCAACAAACGAATGGTATAACACACCCACACATAAAATACAATAGAGCAAAAAAGTAATTGCTTGGTGCTAAACATGTACAGAAATTGTTGAAATTGCTTGGTGCTAAACACGTACAGAAATTGCTTGGTGCTAAACATGTATAGAAACTGTTGAAAAAAAGTAATTGTAGCAAATTTAATGCTAAGAAAAGCACTAATAGCATCGTTGGGGCTACGACTCTAGATTCCATAGCTATTGTTGAAAAAATTAATTGTAATCCTCCACCAATACTCAAATATATTTACAATTATTTCTATCCAAATAAAATGATAATTAAAGAAATTGTTTTAAGTCACCTTAGAGTGCATGATTGCATTTGTAGTTTGTTTTATATAGCATTAGTTAATAGGTCATATGGGCACACGATGCCCTAGAGGAATTATTGGGGGAAGGTTTGGTAAATTGAGTTGAAATGAATGCTTTTAATTAACATATTATTAATAGACAAAAAGTTATCACATACTTTTTAGAGTCAGAAGAATGACAAAATGACAATAATAGCAATAAATTCAGTGTTAACGCAGACATTCCATCATGGTCCTCCTCCTTCAATTTGATTTACAATTTCTTTGTTGACATTTAATGGTGAGCAACAGAGAGCTCCATATTAATTGATTTATATATAAGCATGTTGACTAATAGAATCATTATTATTATTATTATTATTATTATTATTATTATTATTATTATTATTATTAAAAAATTAAGAATCAAACAAGGTGGAAAAGGTATCATGGTCTTGGGTGAGCAAAAATCGGAGATGAAAAAAATTGTCATCACAACACATCACATCACTGATGCAGTGCCGCAGCAGGACTTAGACGAACCCTTTGGGTCTAAGTTAGCTTAAATTTCCAAGATTGTACATACAATATTACTTAGGGTTGGTCCATCAGCATTAGTGAATTCCTTCATTTATATATGGTTTGTCGTTTATTAAAAACTAATTTGTTTATTGAGGTTCAATCACAATTTTTTGGAGTTGGCAACTTAGCATGGATCATTTACTCCTGGACAAATCAACTCAAAAAAAATCCAAGCATTCTTTGAGTCACATCACATCACATCACTACTATTTTTAAAAGCAACAAATTAAAATCACTATTAGAATAGGCATATTCTATTATAGTAATATGTCATAGTATTAATAGGTCAGAATGTCACATGCTCTTTGGCTTATAATAATGAATAGTGCCAACTGCCAAAGCAGGCATTCCATCATGGTCGTCATCCTCCTTCAATTTGGCTTATAATTTCTTTGTTCACATTTAATGGTGAGTAACAAAACCCAACAAAAAAAGGCAATTAATATTTCCGTAGAATCCATTTTACCAATTTCGTTTATTATGCCAAATACCTTGTGTGGTGTAATTGCATCACTTCTACTTTTCATAAGGAAGGTATTAAGTTTGAGTTCAATCTCAATTAGAGTTGGCATAATTTGTTGAGGACAATATATATATATATATATATATATATATATATATATATATATATATATATATATATATATATATATTTATTTATTTATTTATTTATTTATTATGTTAAGAGTTCCTGTGTATTATGTTAGGATAACACTTGTGTGAGACCGTCTCACGGATATGCAAATGTAATACTTATACTAGCAAATGTTATACTAAATCAAAAATAAAATTTTTGTTACTTATAAGGGAAAACATAATACTTTTGATGACAAATATAATACTTTTATAATATGTTGTAAAAGTATTACTTTTTTCATCAAAAGTATTATATTTTCCCTTATAAGTAATGTTGCACTTATAAAGGCAAATGTAATATTTTTGATGAAAAATGTAATACTTTTACATCAAAATGTAGAAGTATTATATTTTTTCTCAAAAGTATTACATTTTCCTATATAAGTAATAAACATTTTTTTTCTTGATTTAGTATTATATTTGTTAGTATTAGTATTAAATTTCATTTTGACCAGACCCGTCTGACAGATACAGATTCATTAGACGGTCTCACACAAATTTTTGCCATTATGTTAAGAGTTCATGTGTATTATATTAAGAGTTTATGTGTATTGTGTTAAGAATTTATGTGTATTATGTATTATGTTATATTCTGTGTATTATGTTAAGAGTTTATGTGTATTCTACTATACAATTCTGTACATTCGAATCAGAAAATTTTTTAGGACGCACGAATATAACAATTGTTTGTTAGCATATACTATATACTATATATATATATATATATATATATATATATATATATATATATATATATATATATATATTTGACTTCGTTAGCATATACTATATAGATAGTTTAAAATTTACTAAAAAAAATTAATGTTTTATAAATATTATTTTATAATTAAATAAATAATATTGAATATAGATATGTGTATATTATTTTTTCTTTTTTGCCAGACATTGAGTCATTTATGTGTTTTTATATGGTAATTTTGTTTGTACTAATTTTTAAAAATATAAATATTGGTATCATTTAAAAGATCTCAATTAATTTTTTTTTTATAATTTATTTTTTAAATGTTAATTTTGTTTGTACTAAAAGAAAAAAAAATTATTTTTTGGTCAACCATCCACCTCCTTTGCTTTACATTTTCTTAGTAGACATTTAATTGGAGCAACAACTAACACCAAATAAAAATGAAAGGGAAAAGAATTTAGTGAGTAATAATACTAATTAAAAAGCTAAAGACCTGAGCAATTTAACAAATAGTGTATGAAAATAATTAGCCAAAATTAATTGTAGTAAATTCAATGGGAAGAAGAGCATTTATTGCATGTAGCTATCACGAAGTAGATTTCAACATAATTTCAATCTTTTAATTGACAAATAGTATTCAGAAGGACACATGCACTTTGGAGTTTAAAAGAATGAGAGAATGAAGATAAAGGTAATGAATTTAATGCTAAAGCAAGCCTTCCATCATGGTCCTCCTCCTAACAAAATCAATGGCAGAGCTCCATATTTTTTGGGTTGCGTAAATATTTAATGCTAAAGTAAATCAAGGGCAAAGATGCGCTCCATATTTTTTGGGTTAGGTGTTGTCGATAGCTGACTTGCTCAAATTAAAAAGATTGGGATTCAAATTCTTGAACTTGTGATTACAAGTTTGTATTCATAACCATCTTGGCTGGATTATTGCATCTAGGTCAAAATTAATGTGAGCGGTTCTGTGATTAATGTGCGTGAGTTTTGTATATAAGATGCGTGAGTCTTGTGCATAAGGTGCATGAGTTTTGTGCTTAATGTGCGTGGGGTTGTGCTTAATGTGAGTAGTTGGTAAAACTTAAAGTGTGGGCTTTTGTGTTTAAGATGCGTGAGATTTGTTCTTAGTGTGAGTGTAGTTTGTGCTTAATTTGCGTAGGGTTTGTGTTTAATGTGTGTGAGGTTAGTGATTAATGTCAGTAATTGTTGAAACTTAAAGTATGTGAGTTAATACTTAAAGTGCGTGGATTTTGTGCTTAATGTGCGTGAGATTGTGCTTAATGTGCGTGGGTTTTGTACTTAATGTGCGTGAGTTTGTGCCTAACGTCAGTAGTTGTTGAAACTTAAAGTCTGTGAGTTAATACTTAAATGTGTGTGTTTTGTGCTTAATGTGCGTGAGATTGTGCTTAATGTGCGTGAGTTTTGTATTTAATGTGCATGAGGTTGTGCTTAAGATCTAACGATTAAAGGTGCGTGGCTTTCTTTCAGACACACGTTTTTTTTTTTTTTTAATTTTTATTGATTTGAAACGTTGATCTAGATTTGATCAACGACTCAGATCTAACCGCACAACTGCACGGGAAGCTATACCCGCACATGAACCCTTCCCTCTCTCTCTCTCTATATATATATATATATATATATATATATATATATATATATATATATATATATATATATATATCAATAGGAACAATAACAAATGGTTAGTTTTGTATTATTGGTTAGTCTAAGGAGTGTCACATTGAAATAATTTATTGATAAAAAATTACATTTTTTGCTATATTAGGAAGCT